GGACTTTGTATACACATATAGTTCAAGGAAAAGAAAACAAAGAGGATATGAAAATTTAAAGGGCTCCTTTACTCCTGTAATATCACATTCACATACAGTGATCAATAACAGCAAAATCATTCTTTTACCTCAGAAGATGAAACTTCTAAAGACCAGATTACATGGGGTATAAATAGGTTAGGGATCACAACCTATGCTCTCAAAATATGTTGGACAACAACTCTGACAATTCCTTGTCAATAGCTGTGTTGGAGAGGCTGATGGAAATTGAAGTCCAAAATTTCTGGGCCTATTTCCACCCACCCCCCAAATCACCACTCAATTATTAATAGTAGCTGGATTGTAAGAGGGAGTGCAATAAAAACTAGAACCATATCTTTGAAAAGGAAAGGAAAAAGTATCCAGTGTATTTTGTGGAAAACAACTTACTTGTGCCCCATAGACTCGCTGCATTGCTTGAAGCAGCTGGTTGGTGTATTCTGTAAGTGTTCCTGCATCTTCTTCAAATACGCTCAGCAAAGAGCGAGTCTGGAGCATTTAAAACAAAGACATAAATGAAAATAGCCAACAGTCATTTATTTAACACTGGAATCTTGAATACAGGTATCGATCAGAGGTTCTCACATCTCAGCAACACCTTAATTTCTTTTTAAAAAATCATTCAGCAGAGATTTTAAAAACAACCACCACCATCTGCCAAAGGTTCTCTGGTCCAGCATTCTGTTCTCCAAGTGGCCAACCAGTTGTTGACAAGAAGCCTCCAAGCAAGACATAACCCTAGTAGTACTTTTTTGCTTAGGGACCCAGCAATTGGTAATACATAGACCCACTGTAAGTAGTGACCACCCACAGTCTTCTCTTGCAGAACTAAAACTGGCAGACACTGCTTACTGTGATGGAATGGAATTATGAAGGCCAGACTCAGGGAGGTGCCAACCTCATCCTCTTATCTCTCCCTCGCTCCTCAGGAGATGAAAGAACATGTTTTCCTCCCTGAGTCTGGCCTTCATAATTCCATTCCATCACACTTACATAGCGAGGGAACAAATTCCATAGTAAAACCACACCATCTGTGAAGGACTCACTCTATTTATAGGATGACCCTGTCTTCTGGAATTATGAGAGAGATCTTGTAAAAGTGCTGCTTGCATAGGGGAAAATCCCTTGCACTTAGGAAAGGGAAAGGATTGTGATGGAAGAGGACAAAAAAGGACACACGCTTGCTTTAAATTTTATAGGATAATAAATATTTACACAAGATTAGAAATAAATGCTTAAATACAAATACATTGTAGGGAAGGATATGGCCAGGTGACCTTGGTGCCTATCTAGTTTTGGATATCTATTTTGGATCCCCCCTTCAACAAAGAACTCTAAGTAGGACATACAGGCCACTTAGAAAGGGGGAATTTCCTCCCCAAATAAATTTAGGCTTAAAAGAGGTTTTTCCTGAGGACTCCAAATTTGGGGGAGGAAGGCTTATATTCCCAAATGTATATTTTACTTTTATTTGCATTTATATGCTATAGAAATGCATAGCAGAGTGTACAGCATCAAATAAGGTTTACACAATTTAAAATGTAGTAAGAAATGACATGACAAAATATAACACAACATACACTGTTCTTAAAATTCCATATGGCACTTTGCATTATTTGCATTATCCCATTACTGAGCATGAAAGGATAATTTTATCTATCAACAGTTCAATCCAGGGGAAACCTGAGAGGAAAGGAAAGAGAAATGGAGGCAAAGATAAACCAAGAAAACACTGAGGAGTTGTAATCCAGATTCCTGAGGGTACCAGATTAGAGAAGGGTAATGTAATTTTTCTGGAGGAATCTCAGAAAATGCTTCAAATGGGGTTATTGAGAAGAGAGTCAACAGAGTCAAGAGAACAGGGAAAATTCATATAATCATCATATCCTGTACTGTAATGACTAGTTATATAGGCTTTACCAAATGATTACTGACAAATTAAGGCACAAAGCCACAGAGCTTATGTTGATACACAGGGCAACTTCAGAAAAAAAAATAATAAATCTCCATATATATATGGAGATCTTAGTGGAACAAGGATTTGGTCATGTTCTATGTCTGAAACTTGGGCTAGTGGGAAATATTTTGAGGAGACTCCTAATCATTATTCATTGGACAAATCATTTAAGAGGATCTGATCATTTGTTTATTTACTGAAGTAGGCTGATTGGTAGAAGTGGAGCAGATGCTGAGAACGGCATTAATTTAGATGGTAAGCATGTTTAATAATAGTGTTATTTTTCTTGTGATCATAAATATATTATGGTGTATATTGATTTTGTTGCTTTTGTATAATTTTAACTGTTCAGTTTGAATTTGTTCATTTTTTATTGTGGTTGGTGTTGAAAATCAACTGTATGCTTGGTGGAATACCAGTTTTGTATAACTTTCTTTGCTTGGTTCTTCATCTCAAAAATCTTAAGAATGGTATTGGGTGCAACCTGAAGTTATTACAGTTCCTAGCAGAGCCTAATTTGTGACTAGAGACATTTCCATGGATTTTCCAACTTAGGAGGTGAGTGGGAGGGCTTTGTTTACCATCTTGCCTAATGAATAGTTCTGGAGAAGCTACACAGCAATCAACTTAATAAAGATGCTGTCAAAATATGGAATCTGGCATTTTTCTTATGATCAAAACAGAGCTATCAGTGCTCCCCTGCCACCATCCCTATAACCCCATTCTGGAATCCTGACTCTTGTCTCTATAATGGAATTATTGAAAGCTACAATGGAAAGTGTTTTCTTATAAGGTAAATCAAAGCAACAGGAGGCAAACTAGAATGATGGGATATCCTTAGTAAAGAAGCAAATTTAACTCAGAACTATGAAAAAAAAATCCTATCACAATAATAACAAAATGCTTTGGAATATTGATTTGGAAATCTTTGCTCTTCAAAATATTCACGATTATGTGATTCCATATAATATATACCCAATTACAGCTCTCAAGTTACTATAGAGCAAACTATTCCCATTAGATAATAGTCCCACAACAGGAGATCTGATGGTATATGTCAGATGTAAAAGTTATTTAAAATTAGTATGTATGTATGTATGTATGTCTGAAAAAGGGTGATAATAGTATGTCTCCTCTAAATAACTTGTGGTTTATCCTCTGGCCAAAAATTAGTAAAAAAAGAATGTGGGGAATATAATCCAAGACTGATTTCAATGTTCACACTAAAGGCTTTCAGCTGTCGAAGAGAAAGGGAGCACGGAGAGTTGGATTTCAGAAGCTTTGAATTGCAACATAACACCCAAGCAGCATAATTATTGACAATGATTAGCTTCCAGAATATATTTCCTGAAGGAAGCTTACAAACTAAAAGTAACTTGAATCAAAAATGTGAACCATTAAAACAAAAGCAGAAGATTTTCTGAGTTTTCCCACCTCTTCTTCAGTTTTTATTAAACCAAAGTGTTCAGATATAAACAACTTCATCATCCCTAATCAACATGGGAGACCTAAGTTACACATGTGGAAGACAACAGGTTGGGGAAGATGGCATTCCTTGGAAAAATAATTATATTTATGAGATATGCAAGCATGTATCAGTGGACAAAATGGATAAGTGGCCTTTCATGGGGTCCAAATACAGGTGTGGTATTCAAGCCATGAGGACATCACCATGCAATTGACACTAATTATGTATTTACTTCATTTAAACAGTAACATTATAATGCATGTGATGTCCCTTCCCACCAACACTCCCAGATGCCCACAGGTCAAATGCCAACTCCCTTCAGTCTGAGTCATTACAGCCATAGTGAAAATGATGGGAGTTGCCATTGAGCTACCACAGAGGGCCACAACTTCTCCATTCTTGATTACTGGGAAATTGGCAAATTGTCTTCTAGAGTCCTTGGGCTTCTCTGAGCATGGCTGTTTTCTTGCAGATGTTTCATTACCCAATTAGCTAATCTGAAGATGTTACCTAGTCAGGTATTAAACCTCTGCAAGAGAACAACCAAGCTCAGAGAACCCCAAGAATTCTACAGTTCAACCCTGAGCTACATATATCTTCTACATTGTCCTCTATGCGATTTCACTTTGGGCTGCTGCTTATTAAACTATTTAGACCAAAATAAAAACTGAAAAGTCCACAAAAATCAATTTAAACCCAATCCATAACCTAACTAATTTGTGATTAGTCCAAAGTATTACATCTCACATCTCTCAATATATAATGACACAATTATGTGGTAAGCCTTTTATTTTTTCTGGACTGGACCTTCTCAAGTTCCAAGGTTGCTTCTTTGAACACTCCTTTACTGGAAGATTGTGTCCAGGTAGCCAAGCAATTACATCCTGGAAACCTACAATCAAGGAAACTCAAGTCTACAACTCAAACCTTTAATAAATACTATAAATAAGCATGAATGCCCAGAACTTCAGCAACTCTGGAATGATGAGTTCTAAATCAAAAAGAAAGATTCCCACCCATGGTGGTGGTTGTTTTACATTCACTTTATTGTGCAGCTCCCTTGGCACAAAATAGCAATCAGGCTTGTTAACCATCCAGGACTTTTAAGCACCTGCATCCATTTGATGAGTCACATTACACTGCCTCCTTCTTCAGTAAACCAAACACCTCAAGAAGGATCCAAAAGCCAGAAGAAGGGAAAGCTGCTTGACAATAAAGCCATTTGATCAAACACCTCCTTCTGATTCCTAACAAAGGGGGGGAAAGTGTGTCTTCCCTAACAGAGGCAGTTGACTGACCACAATGATTTACCAAGGCGCCCAAACTCACCAGCCTTGAACAATCAATCTCTTCCTTCCACATGAAATGTCCTGCATAATTTTTAATTGTGGAATCTCAATATTCCAAACCATTGTTATTTTTAGTGTGCCTTCAAGTATAGTCGATATTGGGGTTTTTTTCATGCAAAATTCCTCCTCTTCTTCAAGTGACCTAGATTTGTTAAATTAGAGCAAGTACACTAATAAAGCTGCACTACTTCCTGTCTTCACTCCCTCCGTCCAAAAGCTCGTTAATATTTCCAGAGTATTCTGCCTCCCAGTCCTCGTTAACACTTTCCTGCGCTCCTTCCTCTCCAAGTTGTAACGTGAGACTAGACGCTTTTAACAGCAGCTGCACGGTAGGTGTGTTTTCACAATACGTTACAGTATGCAGGTGAGCAATATTTTTACTGTATTAAGATTGTAAGAACCGCGTTACTTTTTATATATTAGATCCAGATCCATAATACTGGAGTTGGAGTTTTCATTACCGTACGCGCTGCAACGCACGTCTCTGATTTCAAAAGAATTTTGAATCTTTTAGTGACAGCACTTGGTCGGTCTAAATATTATTACTATTCTCTTGGACCACAAAAGCGGGAAGAAAGTAGATTGGAAGGAAAAACCTCTTTTTGTCTCTTAATAAATCTTTAGCCGATACGGCTACCTTTTCGTGCTGATTCTTGGAGACTATATAGGAAAACCCAGCTGAGGCGCCACAGGATCATTTGAATAATAGTTGGGAAGACTTCAACCTTTTCAGAACGTAATTTTCCCCTCTTTGCTTTCAAACGATAAATTCAGCCTCAGATTTGCTCTGACGCCACCGTAAACCCGACCCATAAGGACAGCCGAAACAGACTTCGCTCGGCTAAATCACGTCTCCCCGATCGCTGCCGTCAATCTCTCTCTCCTCCTAGCCACCGCCCCCCCTCCCCGGCCCTGCTCCTCGCCCCGACGGCAGGTAGCTTTTGCACGGAACTTGCGGCACCGTCCCTTCCCGAAACGCGGATCCGATGCACTCAAGCCTCGTCCGGAACCGGGTACCTGCGGACTATCTTGCAAAGCCTCTTCTAGGCGAAGTTTGTCGACGGCGGGCATTGCCTGGCGCTAGAGAGGCGATCGGGAATAATGAAGGCTGGCTTCGCGGCGAGAGCGGCGGCCAAGCGTTCTTGCTGACACGTCGGATCTGGATGCTGGGTCGCTTCGCCCAGGAGACCGAACGAGCGAGCAAACCGCCTGCGGAATCCGGCGTCTCTCCTCCCCTCCTTTGCCCTTTCTTCCGCACTAAAGTCAAGGGAGAAAGGGGCGAGCGGCGCGCCCACGAGCCCGAGGGTGCGTTAAACAGGTTGTACTCCCGCCTGTTGCATGCCCAGCCCCGGTCAGCAGGCAAGCAAACAGCTCGCCTAGGACTGCTCCTCCTAGTTCCTGTTTCTGGCAGGACGAGAAAGGGAGAGCAGCAGGAAGTGTGGCATTGCGGATCTTCCTCATAGCTGTTCTGTGCGCATTCCAGCCTCGTTAGTCACAACCTTAAGGCAGGGTGTCGTGATATAAAGGGCAATCAGCAAGTGAGAGTTTCAAAGGGATTTTACAGCACGGACTGCCCCCCGCCTAAGTGGTTAGGCAGCCAGGCCTTTTTCCAGCATGCTCCAGTCCAACCTCGCCCCCGTTTCCCCTCCCCAGGTGAGCATACTTAGTCCTCATTGGGCTACGTCGAAGGAGGATTGCCCCCTCCTTAAATCATTTTTGCATTTTTGCAGAGTTTGGAGATTTTCTTAGAATGCTGATTCTTTTGTTCCTCCCTGGCCCGTGGTCCTCGTGATGCTCCCCAGCTGGGTTTGCTGTTTAGTGACCTATGCACACTATATTTATTTTTCCTAAAGAGCCAAAGAACTATTAAAACAACTGGCAGGAACTGATATGTGCCACAAACAGAAGCTTAAGAAAGCATGTGGTATAAAAGTAAAATATTCCAATTTGAGCTGCAATCCAATGGTTTCTGGCATGGGAATAAATGTGATTGATTTATCTGGGCTTACCCTTGAGTAGATACAGACTGGATTGAATTGCACTCTTATTTAGGCAGCTAAATAGTCTGCCTTTATATGGTTAAACACAATGCGAGGACTTAAAAAAAGGATGTATTGAACATTTTCTAGACTCATGTATTGAGGCTTCTTTCAGAAATAGTAAGTTTGAGTTTAGTTATTTATCTCTTTTGAATATGAATTTGACAATTAGGACCTTTTGAGAGGTCAGACAGTGTAGGGAGAGCTGCAGGAGGCCACAGATTAACAGGATTGAAGTTTCAGTACCAGCTTTCGGTTTTAGGGGATAGGTTAAGGATCAGAAAGGAAAGGGAGTGGTAGGGCTCTGGAAGCCAATCACTGTCATATACACCAGTGTTGCTCAACCTT